TATTTACAATTAAATTTGAAATGATTTAATTGCAAGTAATAAGATCATTCCAAGGACATACTCTTGAGCTAAAACTTCTTTAAGGGTTTAGTATAACTGAGGTAAAATGTTCATTGGATTTTGATAAACATTCTTCAAATCTAAATTTTAAATAGGATGGAATTAAAAAACAAAACAAAAAACAAAGAACAAAGGTAACCGGATAGGAATAAGAGTTCTTTTATATTAAGTTATAGTGTTATTAATCTGTATGAGTACCATACTGATTCATGACATAAAATACCTTATCTTATTGCAGTCAAATAATATAAAAATTCCATTTTTTTGCAGTTCAATTTTTATTAGAATTGAATTACTCTTTTCTGCCACCCCCAACTCAGAGAATTACAGCACTAGGGTTAACATTTTGTAAAATGATTTTTGCAGTTATTGAAATTCTTCCGCATCAGATCTAGCTATTGGTGGGGCTGGACTTCCTTTGTAAAATAAATCCTGCTTTTTTTTTTTTTTTAGGAGAGGTCTGTAGTGGTTCTGGTATTTGGACAATTCAGATTTGTGGGTCACAGAAGCATACTAGTCTAAAGGAAGGGTGGTTTCCTTTGTATTTTTAGTAGATATTTAGACATTTAATATATTCTTTGACTAATTGATACATGTGTATAAGTGTCTTGAACACATCCACTCTCTTAACACATTCAACTCTCCTTCGGCCCACCAACACATTTCCATCCTGTCTTTTCTGTTTTTCTTTTTCTTTGAGATCACAACCCATTGAGTATAGTGTGATGCCCACATACACTAATGCCCTTATACACATAGATGTGGGATTAACCACTGGGACGTGGGCAAGGTCTTAGTGTTAACATGCTCAAGAAGAAGTAACTTCTTCCCACAGCAGCCTTCAGCTGCCAAAGGGTCATCACTGTGGGTGGGGCCTCAGGACTGCCTCCCCAGACTGGATTTTTTTTTTAATATAATTTTTTATTGAAAAAAAAAGATTTCCGCTTCCTCCCCGCCTCCCATTTCCCTCCCCATCTCCCTTTTCCTCCCTCCTCCCTCTTCTCTCCCCCTCCTCCCACTCCTCTCCCCCTCCCTCTCCAGTCTGAGGGGCAGTCAGGGTTCCCTGCCCTGTGGAAAGTCCAAAGTCCTCCCCGCTCCATCCTGGTCTAGGAAGGTGAGCATCCAAACTGGCTAGGCTCCCACAAAGCCAGAACATGAAGTAGGATCAAAACCCACTGGCATTGTCCTTGGCTTCTCAGCAGCCCTCATTGTCCGCCATATTCAGAGAGTCCGGTTTTATCCCATGCTTTTTCAGTCGCAGTCCAGCTGGCCTTGGTGAGCTCACAATAGATCAGCCCCACTGTCTCCGTGGGTGGGTGCACCCCTCGTGGTCCTGACTTCTTTGCTCATATTTTCCCTCCTTCTGCTCCTCCTTGGGACATTGGGAGCTCAGTCCGGTGCTCCAGTGTGGGTCTCTGTCTCTATCTCCATCCATCTCCAGATGAAGGTTCTATGGTGATATGCAAGATATTCATCAGTATGGCTATAGGATAGGGTCATTTCAGGTTCTCTGTCCTCAGCTGCCCCAGGAACTAACTGGGGACATCGCCCTGGGCACCTGGGAGCACCAAATCTCTTGCCAACCCTAAGATGGCTCCCTTAATTAAGATGTGTGCTTCCCTGCTCCCCTATCCGACCTTCCTTTATCCCAAACATCCCGTTTCCCAAGTTCCCCCCAACCTCCCCTTCTCACTTTTCTCTCCCCATCTCCCCTTACCTCCCTCCCCCCCCCCCCCCAAGATCCCATTTTTTGCCCGGCAATCTTGTCTACTTCCCATAATCAGGAGGATAGCTATATGTTTTTCTTTGGGATCACCTTCTTATTTAGCTTCTTTAGGAGATCAAATTATAGACTCACTGACCTTTATTTATCTCTAGAAACCAATTATGAGTGAGTACATCCCAAGTTCATCTTTTTGGGTCTGGGTTACCTCACTCAGGATAGTGTGTTCTATTTCCATCCATTTGCATGCAAAATTCGAGAAGTCATTGTTTTTTACCGCTGAGTAGTATTCTAATGTGTATATATTCCACACTTTCTTCATCCATTCTTCCATTGAAGGACATCTAGGTTGTTTCCAGGTTCTGGCTATTACAAATAATGCTGCTATGAACATAGTTGAACAAATGCCCCTGTCATATGATCGGGCCTCTCTTGGGTATATTCCCAAGAGTGGCATTGCTGGGTCCAGGGGTAGGTTGATCCCGAATTTCCTGAGAAACCGCCACACTGCTTTCCAAAGTGGTTGCACAAGTTTGCATTCCCACCAGCAATGGATGAGGGTACCCCTTTCTCCACAACCTCTCCAGCAAAGGATATCATTGGTGTTTTTGATTTTAGCCATTCTGACAGGTGTAAGATGATATCTCAAAGTTGTTTTGATTTGCATTTCCCTGATCGCTAAGGAGGTTGAGCATATCCTTAAGTGTCTTTTAGCCATTTGAATTTCATCTGTTGAGAATTCTCTGTTCAGGTCAGTGCCCCATTTTTTAATTGGGTTAATTAGCATTTTAACGTCTAGTTTCTTGAGTTCTTTATATATTTTGGAGATCAGACCTTTGTCTGTTGCGGGGGTGGTGAAGATCTTCTCCCAGTCAGTGGGTTGCCTTTTTGTCTTAGTGACAGTGTCCTTTGCTTTGCAGAAGCTTCTCAGTTTCAGTAGGTCCCATTTATTCAATGTTGCCCTTAATGTCTGTGCTGCTGGGGTTATACATAGGAAGCGATCGCCTGTGCCCATCTGTTGTAGGGTACTTCCCACTTTCTCTTCTATCAGGTTCAGTGTGTTCAGACTGATATTGAGGTCTTTGATCCATTTGGACTTGAGTTTTGTGCATGGTGATAGATATGGGTCTATTTTCATTCTTCTACAGGTTGACATCCAGTTGTGCCAGCACCATTTGTTGAAGATGCTTTCTTTCTTCCATTGTATACTTTTAGCTCCTTTATCGAAAATGAGGTGTTCATAGGTTTGTGGGTTAAAATCTGGATCTTCTATACGATTCCATTGGTCAACTTCTCTGTTTTTATGCCAATACCAAGCTGTTTTCAATACTGAAGCTCTGTAATAGAGTTTGAAGTCAGGGATGGTAATGCCTCCCGAAGTTCCTTTATTGTATAAGATTGTTTTGGCAATCCTGGGTTTTTTGTTTTTCCATATAAAGTTGATTATTGTCCTCTCAAGATCTGTGAAGAATTTTGATGGGACCTTGATGGGGATTGCATTGAATCTATAAATTGCCTTTGGTAGAATTGCCATTTTTACTATGTTGATCCTCCCAATCCAAGAGCAAGGAAGATCCTTCCATTTTCTGGTATCCTCTTCAATTTCTTTCTTCAATGCCTTAAAGTTCTGGATTTTTAACTTGTCTGGATTTTGTGCAGGAAGCCATAGCTGCTGTGGCTTCCTTTGTGGACAGCCTTGTTGTGATCGAAGGCAGCGTTTCACAGTGCTTCTGCCCATTTTTTGGCCCTTATGTTCTTCCATCTTATGTTCCTGTTCTCATAGTTAGAGGGGGTGCGAGAGATGCAAGGGATTGCACTTCTCACTGCATTCTCTCTTCCTGGGAATAGCGGTAGGAGCGGTGTCCAAGTCTCTGCAAAAACCTCACCCTTTCTTTGCTTTTTTTCAATGGGACTGGAGAGATTCTCAAACAGGTGATAACAGCAGGTAATTACTGAGAGCCTTAACAGATTAGCAGCAAAGAAAAGCTTCTCTTAGTAAAAATTCTTGCTATGGGGCTGCAGAGAGGTCAGTGGTTAATAGAAGAGCACTTGCTGCTCTTCTGGAGGACCAGAGCTCTGTTCCCAGTGCCCACAGCAGGTGGCTCACCCCACATTCAGGATCTGATGTCCTTCTCTGACCTCCATGAGCATCCCCCAGACATGGCAGTCACACAGACACACAGATACACACACACATACACACACACACACACACACACACAACTTAAAAAACAATGTAAGGTCTCTTTCTAGGGTAGGATTTTATTTGAAGAACTTCCTTTGAAGAAGGGAAGAAATTAATAAATATTTTAAAAAATCTTTAATTTAAATTTATGTCATATTTACTCAATTTGTACCAAAAATCTGTGACTTGCTTAAAATTGTATTAGTGGATATATTCATTTACTTATGTTGGCAATATATAAATATTTTAAATAATTTCTATAATAAAGAACCAGAAAAGTTTATGATTCATGACATTTATCAGTATTTTCCAGTTATCTCCCACATTATATGTCTCTGCTTAATTGCCAAGTTGTCCTACCTCTGAAGTCTGTCTTCATTTTCCTGAACTTGACTTTCTCTCTGTCTACCTCTTCCATATTGCTTATTCTTTCCAAGTCGTCTTCAGTTTACCATGCTCTTCATGAAGGACTCCTTCAAACCCGGAGCCCTAACCTCCAACACAGAAGTGTCCAGTTGATAATATTCACCATGAGGGAGGCTGTATTGTTTGTTGTCTTTGTGACACTTCTCTATCCATGTGCATCTCTTAAGTTTGTTTTCTCTACAAGCCTCCTCAGAGCATTCTTGTCTATAGATTATTAGACACAGCTTTCAGTTTTGACATCTGCATGTTTTCCTGTGTACATATTCTCATGTGACCCAATGTGCTGTGAGCATACATGTTCTCATGTGACCTGATGTGCTGTGAGAGTACATGTTCTCATGTGAGCAGCTGTCCCCACGTGCTGTGAGTGCCTTTGAAAAGGAGGGTCAGATCTCTGTATTGGTGTGTGCTGACTTTGACTGAGCATGGGCTGCACAGGAACTCTGTGCCGAGTACTGACAAGCAGTCCTTGGCAGAGCAGCTCTCTTCACACAGTACATAGTCAGCACAGTTGGTTTTTTATTAAATGTGGGAAATAACAGCTTTCTGGATTGCACACAGTGAAGATAATGCTTATCTCTTTGCTGTCTTCAATGCTTTCCTCAGGGAAGGAGACAGAAAAGGCCAAGGAGCGCTATGACAAAGCCACGATGAAGCTCCACATGCTGCACAATCAGTATGTGCTGGCCCTGAAGGGCGCCCAGCTCCATCAGAGTCAGTACTATGACACCACACTTCCTCTGCTACTGGACTCTGTGCAGAAGATGCAAGAAGAAATGATAAAGGCACTGTAAGATACATTTCCTGTTTATCATGAGTCCCTTCCAAGTAAGAGTCAGCGTTTCTCCCACGCTTTAGAAACTTCATTTTTATGCAGCCCCTGGACACCTCAGACCCATGTAACTTTGTTTTGAGTTTTACTTGTATTCCTTCGCTTATACTCATGACCTGGCATGCCTGAAGGATAGACCTCAATATATTTTATTTGTCATTACTTTGCTGTTCCAGTTAGCTGTGCGTTTAAATGAAAAATGGTGTGTGCAGTGAATACCTGCTTGGGAATGTATATGTGGGCCAAGTTTCCTGCCTTTTAAGGACTCACTAGTGCACCGCAGTTAGTAGGTCACATGTACATATATACTGTCCTGTATATAGGACCAGAAGATGATGACCCATATTTAATGGACGTTTCTTCCTTTATTTCCTGGTTGAACATTTTGCAAACCTTTAGATTCAGTTTTCTTTCACTGAAAATATATGTGGGAATTTTTTTATGATTCAATTTAAATGTTTTTGTCCCTAACACTATTTTTCTATTAAAACGAAGCAGTTAGTTGAGTATGGTCATGCAGACCCTTAGTCCCAGCTGTCAGAGACGTTTGTCGGCACAGATCTCTGTGAGTTTTGAAGCCAGCCTGGTCTACATAGTGAGCTCAGCTCCTGTCTATCCAGGGATACACACACACACACACACACACACACACACACACACACACACACCCTGTCTTAAAAAACAACCAACCAACCAAAGAAACAAAATAAACTTAATTGAGGTAACGTACAGGGGGAGCTTATAAGTAATGACTTTGATTCATAAGTAATTATTTTAGAAAACAGACAAATTTTGTGTTTTGTTTATTTGGGTATATGCAGAATAGGTTTATTTGCCATACTTGCTTTGAAACCAATAATAACCAATATTTATAAAGCACAACCCTTAAAAATAGGGATCTGGGCTGTGTGACAGAATTCTTTTCCTTTCTCTTTAATTAGAACAAGCTAATAACCTTGATGAAACTTTTGCTGCAGATTGGAGGTCAGGAGAAGAGACAGAAGCCACCAAAGTTGAACTAAGATACATCTATTTGCTTATCTATCTCACTATCCATCTATCCATCCCCAGGTCTAAGAGGGGAATGAGACATTTGAGGAGTGTCTTACACAGAATCCAGTGTTTTATAAGAATATTGAAGAATAGAAAGTTATTAGTACTGGCTCTCCCTGCCTTTTGGAGATATCAAATACATACTAGAATTGGTAATGGTGTGTTCACATTGTGGCACCGTTACATAGTCCCTTCATGTTCCATGTGTATGAAATAAGGTGGTGCACAGAACCACCACTCGGAAGACAACGATACTGTGTTTCCTATATTTATCGTTCTTATGTTTATTGTTCTTTCTGGGTCTGTGTTTCTCTTGACAAAACATTAAAATGTATAATTTTATTTTTGCTTTCAGAAAAGGTATATTTGATGAATACAGCCAGATAACCAGTCTTGTTACAGAGGAAATAGTGAATGTTCATAAAGAGATTCAGATGTCCGTCGAACAGATAGACCCTAGCACAGAGTATAATAATTTTATAGATGTTCACAGGTATGGCATTTTCAATCTTTTAAGCTTTTTATGAAGATAACATTTTTCATAATTGAATATTTAATGAACTTAAGAAATAATATTATTAGAGCAGTTTATTTTATATGAATTTACTTTTATTTTTAAAAGACTTTTTAAGTTTTATTTTTTACTCTTATTTTTATTTTTTTATATTTATTTGCTATGTATACAATGTTCTGTCTGTGTGTATGCCTGCAGGCCAGAAGAGGGCGCCAGATCCCATCACAGATGGTTGTGAGCCACCATGTGGTTGCTGGGAATTGAACTCAGGACCTTTGGAAGAGCAGGCAATGCTCTTAACCTCTGAGCCATCTCTCTAGCCCCCTTTACTTTTATTTTTAAAGTCTTAAAGTTGGTAACTAATTTATAAAATTATATTTAAGGCTTTGAATTGACATGCCATTATTTAAATCAATATTTAACTTATGAAATTGTATTTTCTTGACATTTACATAATAAATAACACTATGAGCGTATATGTATATTAATTTTTTTGAGGCATTAGTTACTTTCCCTTGCATGCAACTTGTTTTATACTTTAAAAAAGTTGTTATGGGGATAAACTGACTTAATGTGTATGTATATTCTACAAATGAAGAAACCAAGACTCAGGTTACATGACTAGATCATTAATGCCTAGGGTTTTCTCCAAGTTATACTATTTGGTTACTTTGTTAGCATAATTTAGAATAATATTAAATATTTTGCTTTTGGTATGCACTGAGATAGATTATGATTGTATATTAATATTGATTAGACTTATTTGGCATACTTTACTAGAACAACAGCTGCTAAAGAACAAGAAATCGAATTTGATACTTCCTTATTAGAAGAAAATGAAAACCTCCAGGCAAATGAGATCATGTGGAATAATTTAACTGCAGACAGTTTGCAAATGATGTGAGTACTTAGAAAATGTAACTGTAAGGTGGGTGTTACCACTGCCTTAGAGCTACTACGGTATCTCAGCAGCTTTAGTCTCCAGTGTTTGGGGATTAAAGCTTGAGCGTGCTCCCTCATTGCTCTGGGCCTCACTGTCTTGAGTCTTTCACTGAACTGGAAGTCTGCTCGTCAGTCTCTGCTTGCTGGGCATCAGCATTGGACTTCTCCTGTCTGTGCCTCTCAGTGCTGTGAATATAGGGTGTACCATCATGTGGGCTTCTCTGTGGGGGCGTTGGCATGGAACACGGGTCTTTATGTATACCATACAGCACTGAGCCAGCTAAGCCCCAGATGACGTATTTTGGGAAACATTATTTTTCCTCATTGTTATCACTAATTTTAGTAGTTTTAAAAATCTGAATTTTATTGTGATGTTGCATTAATTTTCCACTGGTTGCCAGTATACTAGAATGATGCTTTATTTTTTTTTAAAATTTTATAAATACTTTTATTTTATTCTCAATATTTAGTCTCAGAGCCATCTTGGCAATGTGGGCACTAAATGTGAGAGGGTAGGAATCCTTGCTATCACAACATTTAGACTAAAGCTTTACTCTTGATTGAATTCTTTTTTTCTTGAAGCAAGGGTATATTCAATTACAAATTATTAAATAAGCTTTTTTGCCATCTTGTTTTTGTGTAAATTTGTGAGAGTTTTGAGAAATCCTAATTTTTTTTAGTATTCTTCAAATATTTAAGGCAATTTAAAGTACTTTGTGAGTTGTGAAAACATGATTAAGACCCTATATTCTTAAATATTTAAGCTCCCTCATGATTGTGTTCGGAGATTAGAAAGAAGCATTTATTGCTAAGCATTATGTATGTTTATCCTTGTGTTGGAATTAAAAGTAGTAGATATTCTTTTCTTGGCATGCTATATTATTTTACTTGTTAAAATTTCCCTCTAATGAGCCAGACAAAAGTCCTCATGGATATAATTAATGTATTATTCAGAAATACTGTACAGTGGTGCAGATATATATTGGGGAGGATTATAGGATTAGTTCTTAGGAAGGGAGCTGGAATATTTAAAGCTGTCCAAATAGAACTGAAGGAACCAACACATTCTGTTCCACCAGACACATGTTCACAATGAAGCCTTGATAACCATAGAGGACTGATTACTGTTGAAGGAGATGAATATGTGGGTGTCTTCTGCATCAGATGATGATGGAGTTGAGGGCTTGGTGTATTCTACATCAGATGATGGTGGAGTTGAGGGCTTGGTGTCCCTGCATCAGATGATGATGGAGTTGAGGGCATGGTGTCTTCTACATCAGATGATGATGGAGTTGAGGGCTTGGTGTCTTCTACATCAGATGATGGTGGAGTTGAAGGCTTGGTGTCCCTGCATCAGAAAGGGAGTTGAGGGCATGTTGTCTTCTGCATCAGATGATGAGGGGGTTGAAGGCATGGTGTCCCTGCATCAGATGATGAGGGGGTTGAGGGCATGGTGTCCCCTACATTAGAGAGGTTTTTCTAACAGTGGGTTGGAGCTGTTCCACAGGATGTTTATGACCTCTACCTGTACCTCTAACTTGAATTGCCCATGGATGTTTCAGTATAAGTCATCTGTAAGCAGTAGTTCTTATCTGGACTGTATTTGTCCTCCGTGGGACATTTGACAGCTGGGAACATTAGGTAGGGATGCTGCTGAGCATTCTGTCGTGTAAAGGGCAGCCTCTTAGGAAAAAGAATTTCTGACAACATTTTCATTAGTGTTGAGATTGAGAACCCTGCTGTGAATGATAGTGAGCACAGGATTCTCTCACAGAACAGAATGATTGGTAGAACATATGGGGTGGTATGACATCCCATTCCTTAATTCATGTGTCCCATGTTAAAGAAGTAGTAGCCATTGCCCCCGAGTTTTTGTTATTGCTACCTTGCTCCCCAGTAACTATTCATCAGTGTGTTTTATGGTATATTTAAAGTTACAAGATTAATACTCCCAAGAAATTAGTACTAAAATTGATCATTTATTTTAATGAACAGTAAATAGAATGAAAATATAGATACTGGAAAATAATGTGGTAATATTAAAAATAGCTACCTGTTAAGAGCTTGTGAGCAGAGATTTTGTGGCCACATGATTTGTTTTATTGGCTTTCAGAATCCAACGAGAATAGAGTTAGTTATCTCAACACATCACTATTTATTAATTCAGTGATGAAACCTTGACCCCCCACACCCAGTAAATTAAAGATAATAAATCTGTGGTAATGTAATAGATTCCGTTGTCTATCTCATTACTAGGTAAAACTTTATCCACATTTCACTGAACAGGATCTATTCAAGGTATGAATAGAAGATAGACAGACATGTGTATGTGTGTTTGTGTCTTTATGTATGTGTATTTTGCAGTGCTAAGGTTCAAATCAACGGCTTCGGTGTGTTAGGCAAGACGTCTACTCCTATTCTAGTTTACTTTCTGTAGTTGTGACAGATACCATGACTAAAAGCTGCTTTGAGGCAGGGAGGGCTTGTTTAGCTTACAAGTTCAGGTTGTGATCCGATATTGAGGGAAGTCAAGGCAGGAACTTGAAGGCAGTCCTGCTTACCTTTCTACATAGTATTACCTCTGACCATGGAGGTGAGAAGCAGTTGTTTGTGGGGAATTAAAGATCAGAAGTTATTTCCAAACAGTGTTGTACTGGCTGGTTTTATGTGTCAATCTGACACAAGCTAGAGTCAGTCATCAGAGAGGAAGGAGGCTCAGTTGAGGAAATGCCTCCATGAGATCCAAGTGTAAGACATTTTCTCAATTAGTGATCTATGGGAGAGAACCGAGCCCACTGTGGGTGGTGCCATTCCTGGGCTTGATCCTGGCTTTTATCAGAGAGCAGGCTAAGCAAGCCATGTGACAGCAAGCCAAGTGTACCACACCCCCATGGTTTTTGCATCAGCTTCTGCCTTTGGGATCCTGCCCTGTTTGAGTTCTTGTCTTGAATTCCTTCAGTGATGAACAGCAATGTGGAAGTATGACCTAAATGAACCCTTTCCTCCCCAACTTTCTTTTTGGTCATGGTGTTTCATCACAGCAATAGAAACCCTAACTAAGACAAATGTGAACATCTGATACAAGCCATCCAAAAAGTAATTGTGATTAATACCAGCGCTAAGGTTAAGGCTTTTATTTCTTTTGGTGGTATTTTCCAATCTTTAGCAAAGTCTCTTTAGTATGCTAATACCTATCAATATGACATATTAAAATTCTACAAGATTGTGTAAAGTGCTGAATCTTATGATCTAAAGTAAGGCCTAATCCCTAGGCTTTGTGTTTTTCTGTAAATTTTAAAGAGAATTTAGGATCAGAACATATTTAGCTTTTCTAATAGAATATAAACATAGTCCCTTCACTGAGTAATAGTAATATGTAAAGAGGTAATTCTTTTGGATCTTGTGGAACCCAGGCTAGCAATGTATTTATAGAACTTGAGAATCAGATCCATTTTGTTTTTGTAGAGCCTATGAACTAAGAGTAGGATTAATAGTTTAAAATGTTGAAAATATCAAAAACATTATTTTTGTGGTACATGAAAACTGTGTGAAACTTGAGCATCAGAGTACACAAGTAAAGTTTTATTAGTGCACAACTATGTTCATTTATCTGCCATCTGTGGGTGATTTCACATCAACAGAATCAGGTAGTTGCATCGTGACAGCAAGTATATGTGGCCCACAGTATAAATCACACTGACACAGTTAGTGGCTGTGCACCATTTTGAGTGCCACACATCTTGATGTACTGCATACAGCATTTCATTTTTGTTACCAGTAGATGCCTATTGTGTCAAAAAAGAAGAGCAAATGGTTTTCAGATAACTGACCTTTCGGTACTGTGGACTATTTTGTTAATGACTGATCTCTAATTAGACATAGCTAAAATTTTGTCAGGCTGTATTCAAGGAATATTTTTGAAATTGGTGACTTGAAAGCTTTGGGAAAATGTCAAAGAATTAGAAGGCAGGTGTTAGGATAGCTTGAGGAAAACACACTGTTTAAGAGAAATAGTTGGATTTGTTGGCTTGGAAGTAGAGGAGGTTGAGCTGAGTTTGAAACATTCAACAGAAACGTCTGACTGCTTGGTTATTTAGGAACCATCTTTCGTTCATCTTGAGAAAGGTTCGAAGATTTCAAGGATGACACCAATGAACATGACAGAGTAGACAGAGGAAAACTACCAAAGATCTATAGGCAACTGAGGAAAAGCTGGGAACAGGAGGGGTGGTCCCCCCAGGGAAGGGCACACCCATTCGTTATCCAGTGCTAAGTGGGTGGCTCTGAAAACACACATACAAATAACATATGTACCGAGCAGGGCATATTTAGGAATATAATACACACACACACACACACACACACACACACACACACACACACACATTAAGCAAGCTCATGTTAAACAAGTACTCTGCTATCTAGCTATCTCCTAATCTAACTGGACAATATTTAAAGATTGACTAGTATGAAAAGATAAACACTTCTAAAATGCCTGTTGTGGATAACAGGATTTTAAAACTTACATACAATTTTTTATTATGTTAAATTTCCAATACTATTGTTTTAATTATGACTTTAGATTATTTTTTCAAAAACTGAAAAGGGTTGAATTGGCTTAAGTATCATGTTTCTGATATCTCTTTAAAATGTAGTTGTAGCACCATAAGATTTTATGAAGGTTTTTTTATATCATGACACAAATATTTTTATTTTATTTTTAAGACTATAATTACATTTCTCCCTTCCTTTTCAAACCCCTCCATAGCTGGAAAAAGTGCAATTAATACATACAGATGTTAAAATTTATAAAACCTTACAAGAGGATATACATGAAAATCAGATAGGAAGTCATCTGTGTTTTCTCTTCCCATTTCCCCTTACCCCCATCCCACCCCACCCCCAAGTTCCCAATTTTTGCCTGGCAATCCTGTCCACTTCAAATATCCAGGAGTTTG